CTTGGCTGGAGTTGTAGCCTGTATCGACTCCTTCTGCTTCAGTATGGTGCAGAGCGTAGAAGTGCTACGCTTGTACTGCTTCGCCAAGTCGATTACACACACACCTTGGTCATGTTTTTCGATAATTTCTTTCTTTAATTCAATGCACATCATCCGCTTCTTCTTCTCAGCACTGTCCTTCACACTTACTTTCTTCAGATCCATGGTTGAAAAAACGAAGTTTTGCAAAATAACTGCAAGCACAAATGCGAGCACAACACTGATGCTTCAACTAAGAGCTAACCGCTTAAAGTGAACGAGTGAGACACGTGATGCTGGGCTGATGTTGTGGTGTTCACTGTGACTTCGCTGCGCCAACTAGCGGTGGGGTATCTGAAGCTGGCTCGTAACCTGAATTTTAGCTCGCAACTCAAAGCAAAAAATCGGCCGAGAGACAGCTGTCTCTCGAAAAAACTCGTTAGTCGGGACACTCGTAAGTCAAGGCCCCACTGTATATACTAATATCGATTGCAAACAGAGATGCAAAAAAAAAAAATTAGAAAGTTGAATCCATTCATGTATTAAAAAAAGGGGAAAACTGCATGAAGCCCTGGCCTGGTAGCTCAGTTGTTTAGAGCAGCAGTTGCCAACCTTTCCAACCTCATGAACCACCGGTTGGTGACTGCCGCTCCAAAGGTTTCCCTAAACCAGCGGTCGCCAACCTTTCAGACCTCATGGACCACCAGTGGTTCGCAGACTATTGGTTGGCAATCGCTGGTTTAGAGGATGGTACTAAAACTCCAAGGTTGCAGGTTTGATTGCTGGTCAGGGCACATATAAGTATCAACCAATGAATGCATATATAAGTGAAACAACAAATCGATGTTTCTCTCTCTAAAATCAATCAATAGAAGTTTTTTAAAAGAATTTTAAAACAAGAAAATTGCACGATCATTTCAACAGATAAAAAACCATTTGACAAAATTCAACCTCCATTCATTGTAAAAACTGTCAGCAATCTAAGAAATGTATGGAACTTCTTTAATGTGATAAAAGACATCTACAAAAAACATACGGTTAACATCATACTTAATGGCAAGATTGAGTCCTTTCTGCCAAAGATTAAGAACATGATCATGATGTCCAACTCATCACTCTCATTAAACATTGTATAAGAAATCCTAGCATGTATATTAAGACAGGGAATAAAAAGGGCATAAGATTAGAAAAGGAAAAATAAATTATCTCTATTTGCAGATACCATCATTTTCTACATAAAAAATCCTATGGAATAAAAATATCCTAGAATAAATGAGTTGTGCATATTTGCAGAATTTTAAATCTATAATAATAAAAGTGTAATATGCAAATCAACCGAACGACAGAACAGCAGAACGACCATCCGGATGACCAGGCTATGACATGCACTGGTGCCAAGCCAACCACGACTGCCCCGCAGACACTGTGGTGGGTGTGTGGGGCCAGCCAGCGATCACCCTGCAGAGGGAGACCCAGGCCAGCCAAGCAATCGCACCCCACACCTGTCAACCGCAGAGGGAGGTGACCAGTGGTGGGGGGTTGGTGGGGGAGGGCAGTGCCATACAGATAGCAAGCAGTGGCAGTAGTGGGGGCGGGACCAGCTGCAGGCAGCCAGGGGAAGGAAAACCCCAATAGGCCCTGATCGCCGGCCAGGCCTAGGGACCCTACCTGAGGGGTCCCAGATTGCGAAAGGGCGCATGCCGGGCTGAGGGACCCCCCTCCTCCCCCGTGCACGAATTTCATGCACTGGACCTCTAGTTAACATATAAAAGGCAACTGTATTTTTATGATCTACCAAGAATAATTGGAATTTGAAAACTTTTAAAAGTATAGTTTATAATAAATAGCACCCCAAAAAACATCCCAGAATAAATCTAACAAAGCATGTATAGGATCTATATGCCAAAAACTATAAAAAAAGACTAGTGAAAGAAATTTAAAAATGTTCATAAATTGTTAAAACTCAATAAATTGTTAACAGCTGTTTTCCTCAAAATGCTATAGATTCAAGGAAATCAAAATCAAAATCCCAGCAGGAGTTTTTGTAGATGCCAACAGTTGATTTGAAAATGTATGTGGAAAAGGAAAGTAACTAAAATAGTCAAAACAATTTTGTAAAAGGCAAGTTTGGAGGACACACACTGCCTTACCATAAAGCTACAACAATTAAAATAGTGTGGTATTGGTAAAACCATAAACACATAGGTCAATGTAACAGAATTGAGTCCAGAAATAGATTCATATAAATATGACCAATTGATTTTGACAAAAGTGCAAAAACAACCAATGGAGAAAGGATTGTCTTTTCAACAAATGGTACTGGAAACACTGGACTTCTATATGTAAAAAAAAATTAACTTCAACCCATATTTCATATCTTACACAAAAATATAATCAAAAGACATCATACTCCTAAATGTAAAATGCAAAACTTTCCAACTTCTAGAAGAAAACAGGAGAAAATTTTTGTAACCATGGGCTAGGCAAAAAGCAGAAATCATAAAGGAAAAAGTGGATTTATTATATCTCATCACAATTTAAAATGCCTGCCCTTCAGAATTAAGGGCTGTGAGAATTTAGAAGACAGGAGCACTTATTCTGCCTGCAGTAACTTCCACAATGTGACTTTGAGAATGGTCTTCAAAGATAACTAAGTGTCTGCTGGGCTAAAAATGGAGAGGAGGTAGAAGAAAACCTGTTCAAAGACTCACAGTCTAAGGAACAATGAGAAGTTCAGTTGTCACAGAAGAGGGAACATGGAAAGAGTAGGGCAATAGAGTAACATATGGAAAAGGAGAATTTTTACATATTATTTGTCTTTCTTCCCATTAAGCACTAAGTAAGAATTCTTTAGAAACATACTAGCAGATAGCTATGCTAATAGATTATTCAGGATACCATTTGTTTCATGTCACTTTAGTAGTTAAAGGTAGTCTCAAGTCTGGAAAGAAGCTAAGAAGAACACCACAAAACAAGGTTTAACACTTGAAGCACCACTGTTTACACAAAAGAGCTAGGCTCTAGAACCAGGAAAACTTGAGTTCAGAATCCAGCTCTGCCACCTATTAGCTGCTGCATGAACCTGGGCAATTCATTTACTCTGTTATATTATCAGTATATTGGAGGTAACAATGCATATCTCCCACCATTGCTACTAGGTTCCTGGCACAGAGGTGGGAGCTATTTTACTATTTTAAATATTTTTCCCTTAGTATATTCTTTAAAATAGTAGTATTTATACTCGTCAATTATTTACATAAGATAGTGTTTCTTAAAACAGTTCTTCTAAATGTTCCCTTAAAGTGATCTGAACATAGTCTGGAGCCAGCTGAAAATTTTATCTTATATTAACTGTACATGCTGCATACAATATATCCACATTTAATAGTAAAATGTTACTCTTCAGGTAAAATTGGCATACCAAAAAAATATGCCAGTTTATACTACAACAGGGCCCTCAATACAGTGCCTCATATTCATAAGCCCACCTCAAGGTGTCTCAGATTAGACAAGTCTGGATAGCATACCATGTAAGTTAAGTTGCATGTGATAAAAAGTCAAGGAAAATACAAAACTACTCCATCAGAAATCCAGAAATTCCTACAGTCAAGGAACATTGGGGGAAAAAAAAGTCCTTAAGGTACCTACCTGTGCATTTTGTCCTGAAAATTAATTTGCAGACCTGCTTCAAGCGAAAAAAGCTTCAAAGCCAGACTTACAACTAGAAGAATAATAGTGGACAGCCATAATTAGGAAATCTAAATTTTAAAACTTTACCTGTTTCCTTTTTTTTATCAGAAGTAGTATCCAAAGTAGTTAAGGTAGTAGAGGTGCTTTTATAAATATCCTGACTGCATACTCCAGAATCTTCTTCATCAGATGAGAATGAAGATAAATGTTCTAAGTTTTTAAGTTCCTTATCAACTTTTTCTGATGGACTGTTATCCCCTGTTTCAGACACTAAAGGTGTGGGTATTGTAGATGAAGTCTTTGGAAATGGTGGGGGACAAAATGTACGAACAATCTGGGTCCCTGGTCGTCTAGTCCTGTTAGGCATTCGTACAGCAAGAGTGGAAAACTGCTGCTTGGGCCCAGATTTCAGAAAATCTAAGAAAGAGGCAATAAATCCTGTTTTGACTTCTGGCTGTTTTTCTTCTACTTCTTTGATCTTCTGTCTCATTTTTTCTTGATGCTGATAAACATCATGGCAGCCTTCTGAGGGAGGAGGAGTATATGGCAAATATATATCTGTTCCCCTTGAATTCTGGCGTTTGCCTTGGATAGGTCTTTTCAGCTGTTTCAGATTACTGTTCTCTTCCTCTTTAGTTTGCCCTTTCCCTTTAGTTTTCTTCTTCTGAAGGTTAAAATGCATTAAATCTTGGTTTTCTTCTTCAATCTTGACACTGATTGCCTCCCCAGGTTGGGCCATGGCCAACAGTGCAAGTGCACTCCTTGTCAGATTCACTGACACACCACTGTCATCACCCCCTAAGGTGAATTCACTCTCCGATGTAGCACTCTCTCCACTTATACTTCTACTACTGGAAACAAACTCTTGGTTCCTGTTATTATTTAATGAACTATCAACAGGAACTTCACAATCATCTTCAAAGTCATGATTGGTAGCAGGCTGTTTCTTGAATGGGCCAGACCTTTGGTCCTGGACTTCATGATTTGGTCCAGTCACTGGTGAAGTTAGTTTAGATGCTTTATTTTGACCTGGTGTTTCAATGTGCTGTTGATCAAGAGTCATTTTTGACTGAAGGGTAGGTACAGGTGAAAGGTTTACCGTAACTTGATTTCCATTTAAGGAAATATCATTTATATTCTGTGGCTTTCCTACTGTAGCTGTTATAGAGTTAAAATCTGAACTTACATGCCCGACATCTAATGACTGCTGAAAATGAGATTTAGAATTACCATCTTCAACAGTTGGAATGGTTTCATTTGAAGTTGACTTGGAAAAATCAGAAGGTGTAACCCCACAAGCTGCTGCTGTAGCTGCTAAGATATCATCCACATTTGATAAAATATTTCTTTCATCATTGAGAAGAATTGCCTCTGGAAAACATATTGATCCAAGGGAAACAAAATGATTCTTTGAATCATGCTGATTTGTTTCACTAAAATGGCCCTTTGTTGTTAGATGTTGTTGTAAAGGTTTTGAAGACTCAGAGAGGTCCATTTTCATAATTTCAGAATTCTGAGTATGGAGTTGCTGCTGAGAATGATCACCATTGCTCTGAATAATATGACTATCCATTTGAAGAAAAGGATGCACTATTTGTTGAGGACTTGGAACATGATGTACTTGTAAAGACGCCTTTACTTGTCCTAAACCTGCCTGCAGCATTGACTGCTGAAGAATCTGTAAATCACAGGTAGAATCTAAAAGGATCTGTGTATTAGGAAGAGATGCCTGATGGCCCTGCCCTAAAGTATGATTTGGAATTTGAATCTGAGATGATGCATTAATTATTTGATCATGCTGCTCCTGGACCTTGGCATCATGTACCTTATGTATAAGAGAGTGCTGCTGGTTTAGGTCTTTAGTATTCAATGTTATTTGTGGAGTTGGCATTAAATCAGTTGCCTTCTTAATATCAAGGGCTGCTGCACTATTGACTTGGCCAATTTGTTGGTTAAGTTGTGTCACTGAACCAACCATACTTTCTTCTTTTTTTGAATTTTGTAGAGCAATCCCAACAACGTGATCTTCAAGATGGGAATTACTTCTGATTACGCTCTGAGAATATCCGTCATCTGCCTTTGACACCTTATAAGTTGATTCTTGAACATTAATTTCCCCATCAGATAGCCTTTGGGTCGATGACTCAAGAGATACTTGTGGCTGTAATACCTGTAACTCTTGTATTGGAAAACCATCTTTTTGCTTTGAAGATGTATACACATTTGAGTCAAGTTTCCTTTCAGGATAAGACTTTGGATCAGGGGAAGGTATGCTGTTCTTTAATGTCTGACAATGAGTAGAGGACGTAAAAGATGACTGAATGGCAGGCAAAAACTTTTGGGACTGGGGAGATGATGACCCTTGAGCTTGAGCATTTTGGGAAGAGTGCATAGAAATATAATTCTGGGTTGTGCTAGACTCTGGCAAACTCTGAGCCCGAGAGGCGGAAGAATAAGAAAGAGAAGGAGCTGTTAATGTTAGGGACTGCCCCGAAGCATAGCTTTCTGAAGGATTAACAACTGACAAAACTTGTGATTGAGATGAATAATTAACCTGTGTCTGGCTAGCTGGTGATAAACCCTGAGAATGACCAGATGAGTAACTTTGAGACTGGCTAACTGAAGATAGATCTCTTGTTTGAGCGGGGTAATTCTCATTTGTAACTGAGGATAACACCTCTTGCTGATTAGAAGAATAATTAAGTGTCTGATTTTCAGAAGTTACAGTCTGAGGTGAACCAGAAAAAGTCAGTGTTTTATATAAGGATGGCAACTTTTCAACTTTGCTGGATCTATAAACCTGTGAATGAACAATAGATGGCACATTATGTGGTTGTACTAAACCATAATTTTGGGACTGACTAACTGATAAAAGGCTTGGTAGTTGTGCTGTAGAATAAATTTGTGCTTGGCCTGATATTACAGAACTCTGGTTATGTAAAGGTTTGGAATAGCTTAGTGTTTGCACAGGAGGAATTATACTTTGAGGTTTGGGAGTCTTAGTTGATGTGAGTGGTTCCTTTGCAGAACAGCTTTTTACTATTATCGTGGAAGGAGGATACCCTGATGATGGAATTACAGATGAATAAGATTGAGCAAGTTCCACTGATACCTGGGAGGTCTTCTGCTGCAGTCCTCCATTGCTCACCTGAGTGGACTCTCCAATTGGGCTACAGGATAAAGATGACTGCCTGCTTGTTTCCTGAAAATTAACTAAATTTGCATTTGATAGATAACTATGTAAGGAATGCTGTGAACCAGTCAGTTGTGCCTGAATAGACTGGGTTCCTGAAGGCCGCTGATGGTGTTTAATAACACTACATTCTCGAAGAGCTCTTTCAATGGAAGAAGTAGAATTAGTAAAGAGAGTTGTACTGTAGGCTTGAGGCATTTGCTGGGTTCCCCCAAGTGCTGAAGGCAACAAACTGAACTGAGGTTGTAAAAGATGGGGTGCAGACTCTTGAGCTGAGCGATATGTTGAGGACTGAGGTGGTACACTGTTACATAACACAGAACTGCCCAGGCGCTCAAATGCCAAAGCAGTTGGAACAGTTCCCTGGGAAGTTTTGATTTGTAGCAAAGGGTCATGAGGATTTAGAATTCCATTTGATGTAGTGTTAAAACTTGAATCCTGAAGCACCAAAGGTGAGGTGGTAGCAAAGTTCCTATTGTTGAAGGTGGTGGGATGCTGATAAGCAGAGAGGGCAGAAGGTGAAAGTGTTCCAGTGGTTGGCAAAGGTCCAGTAACGAACAGTTCAGCTGCTGCTGAGGAATGCATACCTATGAAGAGAAGATATGAAGATATTTATGCAATTACCACACAAATACACACACACACACATATATATGTTTTCATAGTAGATACTTATGTAACATTTGCTCACTAAAAAGCATGTAAACAATACAAGGGTATATAAAATGGAAAGTGATAGTTTCTAACAGCAGTCCTACTTTTTGAGAAGATTCTGAAAATTACATTTTCAAATAGCTAGCTTTCTTAAAGCAAAAACAAAATTACAGTTATCAGCAACTCATACCTATAATTGTTATATAAATGTGATTATAAATAGTTAGACAAGGCCAATTAAGAAACCAGTAAAAATGAGTCCTGGCTAGGTGGCTCAATTGGTTAGAGCATTATCCCAATATGACAAGGTTGTGGGTTCGATCCCCAGTTAGGGCACATAAAGTAGGAACATATGAATGCATAAATAAGTGGAACAACAATTCGATGTCTCTCTCTCCCCCCACGCCCCCCGCCACCCTCCTTTCCACAATCTCTAAAAATCAATGAAAAAAATGACCTTGAGGATTAACAAAAACCACCTGTAAAAATGCACAATCTCTAGTGATCAATTTAACCAATGCAAAATAACAATGGACAAACTAAAATATTCATAACATTAAAATTGAAACTAGGCCCTGACCAGTTTGGCTCCGTGGATAGAGCGTTGGCCTGCGGACTCAAGGGTCCCAGTTTGATTCCGGTCAAGGGCATGTACCTTGGTTGCGGGCACATACCCAGTGGGGAGTGTGCAGGAGGCAGCTGATTGATGTTTCTCTCTCATCGATGTTTCTAACTCGCTATCCCTCTCCCTTCCTCTCTGTAAAAAATCAATAAAATATATTTAAAAAAATTAAAACTAAATTATCTACATTTAACATGATAAATAAATCTCACAATTACAGTAAGGTTAATACTGCAGTTTCTCTTATCAAAATATATGCACTTTAAAAATCTCTTGCAATTCAAGTTTTGATGCCCTATGAACAATTTCTAGTAACAACAGATGCATGTTTATCATAAAAGGCTAATCAGAAATTAATAAAGTACTGTCAAGAAGAAATTGTTAACATTTCAGGAAAGCATTTTAGCCATATACAGCTAAAGTAAAAAAGTGTATGCCCTTGTCATCCTAAAGTTCCACTTCTAGAAATTTATCCTATAGAAATAAGTGGACACAAAAAAATTTGTACAAGATACTCACTACAGTTATTATACATAATGAGTAGAAACAACCTAAATGTCCACCAACAGGGGATTGATCAAATAATGATGGCATATCCTAATAATGTTATTGCTATAAACATTGATAGGTGGATATATGTTTTGATATACAAAGACATAAAAAATAAAAAAGGGTTGCCTTGACCAGTTTGGCTCAGTGGCTAGAGCATCGGCCTGTGGACTGAAGAGTCCCAGGTTCAATTCCGGTCAAGGGCGTGTACCTTGGTTGCGGGCACATCCCCAGTAGAGGGTGTGCAGGAGGCAGCTGATCGATGTTTCTCTCTCATGGATGTTTCTAACTCTCTATCTCTCTCCCTTCCTCGCTGTAAAAAATCAATAAAAAATATATTTTTTTTAAAAAGGGTAAATACCAAACTGTTAAATCTTCCCTAAAAAGTGGGATTGCTGTTAGAAACTATCACTTTCCATTTTATATACCCTTGTATTGTTTACATGCTTTTTAGTGAGTTTCCATTAAAAATATTTTTTTCCACTTTGGAGAAATTGGGGAAAACAGATTCTCTAGTCCTTTCAAAAACATTTTTCTCTTAACTTCTTTCCATTAAATGTCAAAAAAGTATTACTACTACAAGGACAGAAAATATCTAGTTACACTTAAAAGAATAAATAACACTTATAATTAGTGGTTAAAATAATATTAACATAGGAACTAGAATAGAAAGTCTAACTGAATATGTAAAATTATTCCAGGAAGCAAAAGATGAAGCTATTGTGTTTTTTAATATTCTGTTTTATTTTACACTAAACATTATCTTCTTAGAAGCAGAAATTGCTGAGGCATTTTGAGAAGCTCTATTGTAATTTGCATCAGAATAAAATATTGTTTCCTATAGCTATCATTTACAAATGTTTTCTCAAATATGCTATGACGTTTCTTTATTCTTTAAAATAAAACCTTAAAAACTAACCTTCCTGTTATCCTGTAAAAAATAAAAACATACAAATAACTGGGGGTGAGAAACAGTTGAAAAGTAAAATAATGAAAATAAAATTTACAAGTACATATAAACGAACACAATACAGAGTGGGGCGAAAGTAGGTTTATAGTTGTATGTGAAAGTCTATTCTTGTATTATTATTTATTAATTATTGTATTATTTTCCATACAAACAACTATAATACCTACTTTTGCCCCACCTTGTATAATGATTTTTATTAAATAGTGATTCAATCAGTTTAATTAAGAATAGATTTATATAACTTTAATGATGAAATCAGTCCCATGATTTTATTCTATCATATAAGCTACCCAGCCTGCAGTTGCTGACATATGTGAATTTAATCTTTCACCAAAAAATAAAAAATAAAGTGATGAATGTAAATTTACTAAATGAGGGGGAATTCGTTCACAATGTAAACGTATATAAAATCATTACAAGGTATATTTTCAATATCTTATAATTTTATATTCACAATAAAAGCTAAAACTTAAAAAAGAAATTTAATCTCTGCTCCTCTCAAGTGGACAAGAACTACTGTTAGCCCTTAGATACACAGGTTTGAACTACATGGGTTCACTTACATAAGATTTTTAAAAATAAATACTGTAAATGTATTTTCTCTTCCTTATGATTTTTATTTATTTTTATTTTTTTTAAAAATATATTTTATTGATTTTTTACAGAGAGGAAGGGAGAGAGATAGAGAGCCAGAAATATCGATGAGAGAGAAACATCGATCAGCTGCCTCCTGCACACTCCCCACTGGGGATGTGCCCACCAAGGTACACGCCCCTGACTGGAATCAAACCTGGGACCCTTGAGTCTGCAGGCTGATGCTCTATCCACTGAGCCAAACCGGTTAGGGCTGATTTTTCTTAATAGCATCTTCTTTTCTCTAGCTTACTTTCTTTTAATATAGCACATAATACATATAAACATATAAAATGTGTAATCGACTGCTTACTTTATTGGTAAGGCTTCCAGTCCACAGTAGGGTGTTAGAAGTTAGGTTTTAGGGGAGTCAAAAGTTTTTGCATGCCCAGCCAACATGGCTCAATGGCTGAACGTCGACCTATGAACCAGGAAGTCATGGTTTAATTCCCAGTCAGGGCTCGATCCCCAGTGGGGGACGTGTAGGAGGCACCTGATTGATGATTCTCTCTCATCATTAATGTTTCAGTCTCTCTTTCCCTCTCCCTTTCTGTCTGAAATCAATAAAAATATATTTTTTAAAAAGTTATTTGCAACACAGCAAATATAATGAATACTGTAATAACTATGTATGATGCCAGGTGAGCACTAGAATTATTAAAGCGATCACTTTGCAAATTATAAAAATGTCTAATCACTATGTTGTACTCTTGAAACTAATATACAATAATATTGAATGTCAACTGTAATAGGGAAAAAAGTAAATTTTGCTCTTAAAAAGAAGTTATATGTGGATTTTCAACTATGCAGGGGGTCAATACACCCTTAACACCCATTTTTCAAGGGTCAACTGTATTTAAGTTGCCAGATAAAAACTTTACTTCTAGGGTTTATCTTTAATAATTATCTTCTTTCTTCAACTTGGTTTTTATCAGAGTGCTAAAACTGAATTTCCGCTAGTAAAATTTATTTTGTCCACCTTAAAATTGTGAAAAATTCCAGGTTTTAAAGTTCACGGGAAAATCAATAATTAACTTCACTCTCAGCCACACTACCATAATGACAAGGCCCATACAAAGTATATTTTTACAAGACTTAAAAATTCTGAAAACAAAGAATCACCTGTCTGCCAGGATGGAGCCCTGAATTGTGGTAAAAGAGTAGTTCCTGAAGAAGCAGCCTGGGCTGTTTGAGATTCAACAGAAGAGAGAAAGTTCATTACTGAAGATTCCTTAGTGTTAGTGCTGGCACTGTTCACACCAGTATCAAATATTCCAGAAAGACCTACATTTGAAGATAAAATATATCCCAAAGTAAAGATATTATTAATATAAAATTATATTTCTGATCATATTTTTAAAAGGACTCCCTGAAATTTGAGGCCAAAATTCTACAATCCTAAACTGTCTTATTTTGAAGTAGCAAACAAATATTAATTTGACTAAGCATAGTTATCATTTAAAATCTATAAAGATGCATGAAAAAGATCTCCCAACTAATTAGTTGTTTATATTCCTTATCAATAAAAGACAAAGCTTTTAATCTCATTTTTATTTTAAAATTTCCCATGACACTGTTATGTACTGCACACAAATTCATAACCCAACATGTGAAAACTGATTTTTTTTTTCCTTATTCACTAAATGTACCCAGATTCTGTTATATTTCACAAGAGAATTTTTACCGGTTGGCTGAGGTGTGGTAGGATATCCAGGAAGTTGATGAGAAGCTGCAAAAGTCTGTCTCTGAAGGCGATTTGTTTCAGAGAGTGAGGGATGTCCTTCTTCATAGCTTAAACTAGAGAATAATAAAAATAAGTGACCAAAAACACAATGCTCAAACCATATGATCAAAAAATTTCTAGAAAAAAAGTTTCTAAAACAGCAACTGTCAAAAGTAGCAGAAGTCTTTGACTATAAATTCCTGATCTATAGACCAATAGATCAAGCACAGTCTGAAAATGTCAAAATGGGGAAAGCACATTGAAGATATACAAGGAAGAAAAATGACACATAATATTTTCTTTAATTCAACTTTTACCTCCTACAAAGTCCTTTTACTGGGAGTGGTAAAACATGGTACAGTGGGAAGAGCAATATCCCAGAAAACAGGAGAGCTGAATTCACTATCCAAGCTCTACTACTGGCTTACAGTGTGATTTCAACAAGTGATTCAATTACTGTCAGACTAATCTCCTCATCTGTATGAATAAGGGACTAAACAAGATAATCTCCAAGGTCCCTCTAATTTTAACATTCTATGTAATATCAGATCATTCAAATAAATTGATCATTAACATTATTTCCCAAAAGCTTGAAATTACATTTTGAGTCATTCAGAAAAAGATGTGTTCTTCCCTTGATTTTTATTTTGAATATTTTAAACCCAGAGAAAAAATTAAAATAGTATAATGAATAACCCACACACCTGTCACCTAAGATTGAACAATTGTTAACATTTTGTTATCTTTTACTATACACACACACACACACACTTATTATTTTTTTTTTTTACTAAACCACTTGAAAATAACCTGCAGACATCACAACACTACATCCTTAATTCCTTCAGTTGTATCTCCTAGGAATAGAATATTGTCCTATATAACCAGTATTAACTTGAAGAACTTCAACATTAAGTCAATAATAGCATGTAATACAGAGGTCATAATTCAATTTCCCCTAATTATTAGCAAAATATTTGGAAATTTTAAAGCTTTTTCAATGTAGGATCCAATCAAATTCAAGAATAGCATTTGATTGTGTCTCTTTACATTTAGTTTTTTAAATATATATTAGAGGCCCGGTGCATGGAGGTCCCTCAGCCCAGCCTGCGCCGTCTTACAGTCCAGGAGCCCTCGGGGGATGTCCGACTAATGGCTTAGGCCCACTCCCCTAAGTCCGCAGTCAGACATCCTTAGCGCTGCTGCGGAGGTGCTCCTGCCACCACTGCTACGCTCACCAGGGGAGCCTTTTCTGGAGAGCAGAGGTTCACTGGAGAAAGATATCCTCTGCAGTGTGGGAGAATGACTCAGCACAGGAAACCAGGGTGGCTGCCCTACGAACTCCAACCCCAGATCCCCCAAACCTGTCTTCTTACTAACACAGTCCCAGTCCACTCTGCCCAGGCCCAAGGGACAATGGATTCTCGGTGGAGCCAGATCCCACTGATAGGTGGGAGCCTGGATCTCAAACAGGCACAGCATCAGACACTGCGCTTTCAACTGTTCCAGAAGAATCCTGTTTCTGTTGCTGGAGTCAGAACACACACAGCCTCTCTCAGAAGCAGAGTCAGAGAAGAAGTTTCACAATGTGGACAGTGTGGGTTCATCACTGAGGAATCTGAGCCTTGCTTTTCATATATCAGGTGGAAGGAAGGCCTGCTGTGGGAAGAGGATACTCTCAATGGGGAGGACTTCGTGGAGACGGAGGAGAATCAGAAGGCTCCAGGGGCGTGCCCATTACTACCTCTGGCTCTTCTGAGAAAACCAGGATGCAGACCTGAGCTTTCAGCACTTGTGGACCTGGCATGAATCAAAGCGAGACAGCCAACCCAAGTCAAGTGAGTGAGTGAGTGGTGAGCGGCAGTGAAGGGACTCATGAGCATCAAGGGTGTATTTCACAGAATTGCAGGGAGGACTTACAGTCAGGTGTTCAGGACAAATAGATTCCTGACCTCTTTCTCTTTGTAAAAGTGCTATATTTTTTCACAAGGAATTAGAAGATTTTCAGTTTTTCAAAAAGGACCTTTACAAAGCCCTAGCAAAATCTCCAATGGAGTGGTATTTTCTTATCCATGAGAGTGAGTATCCTCCAGACAGAGGGACACGGTCAGTTTTATTACACAGACAGAAACTGAAGCCAAGCATCACTGTTTTGGTTCTGACATTGATCTGTAATCAGAATGGGCACAAGCCATGTGCCTCTCAGTACCAGCAGGAAATTCTCTGTCCCATGCACCTGTAGGCCTGCTAGAAGGTTGTGGTGGGAGCCACTGGGTCAACACTGTCAAGGGGGCTTTATCTCTTCAACCTGATGGCAGCTCTGAGTAAGCAGGATTCTTGTCTTAGAATAGTTTGGTTCCCATGAGCATAAAATCAGGATCATTTTACCATTCCTTCCTTAGAGAGGTCAATGGGGCCACCACCTGTTGCAGACCTGTGGGCTGCCCACTAGGGAGCCACTTCCTCCTTGCTACCTGGGTGGCAGAGCCTTGATTGGGTTGCCCTCTTCTTAGGGTTATGTCCTTTTTAGCACCGTGGGCTCCACCCAGCTCCAAAGGGCGACTCTTCATTAGTCTAGGCCAGTGGTCGGCAAACTGCGGCTCGCGAGCCACATGCGGCTCTTTGGCCCCTTGAGTGTGGCTCTTCCACAAAATAGCGACTTCTGCGCATGGGCCACGAAGTTTCAATCGCACTGTAC